GGGCGGGCAAGGAAGGTTTTTTGCCGTAAAGTTGTTGCTCAATAGGGCGTTATAGAGGTACCCTCCTTGGAAAAGGCTTCACGCAGCGCCTGTCCGAGGTCACGGAATTCTGTTAAGCCAGTTGTACAAATCCTACACCTGTATAGCGATTTATCGTGCCAACTGCCTTTAAGGTATTAACTAATAACATGATTGCGACCACAGCAGAAACACGTATTAAAACTCACCTTTCCAAGTGGCCCAAAGACAGGGCCCCTGTTTGCGGACGTCGAAGTTCCACCAGTATTGCTGGCGCTTGTTTCTGGCGGCTCTGACGGGATCTTACAAAATAAAACGTAATCACATCGAAACAGAGACAGCTCTTCAACCACATACCTTTGGACGAGCCTTCGCAATGATTGTTTCCACAGTTTTCGCTACTTGCTCAAAATTCGCATCGTCTGCGACCTCATCAATTTCAAACATAGTTATGGGAATAATTCCAGTGAGAGGCTTATGCCCAGGCAGCATAGGCAGTTCGTCTTTTAACGTCCACCCGCGCGGGATTTTACCGATCCCTAGGTTGCCTCAACAGAAAAACTTCACGAGCTCTATCGGGGAAAAGCAGATGATAGTGACATAAAAAGGAGAAAGTTATATGCTCTGACAAATTTTTTTGAGGAATTCGTCTTTTCCCCGACTTCCATTTACAACTCGTAAAAGGCATTCATGCCGTTGTTCATAGTGATACTCTGAATTTACTAGCTTATGTACGACCTAGCAGCTAGAATAAGTTCAAGAACTGCTTCTGTTTAACACGTTCGCGGCGGCGCCGTTTCGTCAAAAACTCCCGTTTGTCGAGCGACGCGTTCGCGGCGGGCGACACTTAGGCAGTCATCCCGTTCATGGTTGCGCGCTCGCGACGGAACCATAAACGCCTAAAAATTCACGAAAGCCGTTTTTCGCCATTCTTTTCACATTTTTCCCTTCTACAAGTTTTATCTAAGTTTCGGTAAATGAACTAGCTTTCTTGCCCTTTTTGATGTTCACTGGTACCGCACAAAGGGGATGTAGACTTTGATTCTTGTGAAAGTTCTTAGTTCCTCTTGTAAAAACCACTACTGCCTCACCTGGTTCCAAAAAATACACGAGAAATGTTCTTAGTATTACTTGTATATTATTTGTTTTATGATTTGTTCATAATTGCCAGTGAAAAGAAGAAAAAAAAATCATCAAACGAGCGAAGAGGCGCGTGTACTCCCAAGAATGCCCGATTCGCCTAAAGAGGAAAGTTTGAGTATTCTTCCAGGTATACACGCCTCTTCTAATGTGTGGATATTATTTCTCTATTGTTTGATTATTGTTAACATCCAATTGTTAGTTGTTGTGGCAGACCGCGAAGGACCGTGTTCTGAAACTTCTACACGAAGGACATCCTGGAATGTCAAGAATGAAGAGCCTAGCCCGCTCATATGTCTACTGGACAAATATCACAAAGGACATAGAAGATTATGTTCGAACCTGCAGTAGCTGCCAAGAAGCGGCCAAAGCACCAGTCAAGACACAGCTATTCTCCTGGCCATACGAACAGAAACCATGGTCACGTATCCATGTGGATTTCGCAGGACCAATCAACGGACAGATGTTCCTCATTATAGTGGATGCATACTCAATGCTGACATTCATTGAAATGATTCAACCACAAGCAAGGCTACAATACGGCAACTAAACAGAGTGTGCACCCGATATGGATATCCCGAAATCTTAGTTTCGGACAATGGAAGCCAATTCACATCATTGGAATTCGAGAACTTCTGCAAAACGAATGGAATCGTCCATATACGCAGTCCCCCGTACCATCCACAATCGAATGGACAAGTCGAAAAATTCGTCGACACTTTCAAACGTGGACTGGAAAAGCTGAGGGATGCCGAAACAACAACAGAGGCCGTACAGAAATTTTTGCTATCCTACCGCAGCACACCATGCTCATCTTCACCCGAAGAACGATCACCGGCAGAGAACTTCCTAGGACATCGTCTCCGAACGCCTCTCACTCTTCTGACGACACCTAGAAGCGTACCGACGGCGCGGAACGAAGCCATGGAGAATCAGTTCAACAGACTGGGCATGGGCGAATGCCAACGTTCAAGCCAGAAGAGCCCGTGTGGGTGAAAGCATTTCAAAGAGGCAGAAAGAAATGGATACCAGGAAAGATCCTCAACTGCCGCGGAAATACGTATAACGGGACGTCCTCGTGAATGAAGCCGTGGAATGTCGTCATGCAAATCAACTACGTCCACGCATGGCCGCCACACCAGAGCAGACATCACTGGAAAACTACGACTTATCACCTGAACCGGCACATCTCGTGCGAAACGATTTCCAACGAATCGTGACGTTCGGCAACACCAGATGCAACAATTAAATGTTCAGATTCAGAAGCTTCATCACGGAAGAAAACCACACCGCTCAAAGAACGCCCACAACGCAACCGCCGACCGCCGAGCCGACTCCAAGTCAAGCCACATCAGAAGACATACGTGTAGACAAAAAAACTTACCCATTAATAAGATGAATGTTGTTATTGTATAAAAAAAAACAATCCCACCATTGCATCTTAGGGGGGAGGTGTTGTGGCAGACCGCTCAATACTAAAAAAATGAGCTCACTGCCCTAAGTGATAAATGGAGCGGTTGTTTACATTGGTTGTGTTAACAGTGATAGTTCATATTAGGCCTATAAAAGACCCTCAGTGCGGTGTGATGTCAGTTGTCTACTCGTGTGCGAATAAAGCACTCGTCCGAAGTCTCAACATTAGTGAAAAAGAAAAATAACAAATACAAAAAACAGAATAGGTAGGATGGCGTGTTACCCGGCGTCCACGATTGCGCGAAAGCGGAGTTTTTCGTGTATCCGGGAGTACATCTCCGTATGCGGAGACGATGTTGAACAAGGGACTTGCGATAACGGGTGACGCCTATTCGCTTTCGCGCTTATTCAGCTTTATGTGCAGAGGCAGTTGCCACAGTATTTGTTCGCTATGTGGTCTTCATACAAACCACAGTAACTGATGTGACTGAATCGAGTACACAAAAAAGTTTCACTCATAGTTCCACTTATCGCTGCTATACGAGCCTTATCCTACTATATATAATCCGCTAAGTTTGCCTGTTGGTGTGTGTGTGTGTGTGTGTGTGTGTGTGTGTGTGTGTGTGTGTGTGTGTGTGTGTGTGTGGTGTGTGTGAACGGAATGAAAGACACTGGTAGAGACAGGCCAAACAATTGGAGGGTGTATTGGACTAATCAGCTGCCAGTGTTCGATGTGTGTCGTTGTCCCGCCGGCGCAAAACTGCACGGGTAGAGAGTCGGCGTGACGAGCAGTCTCTTGGCTTTTTGCCAAGTCCTGTAATTGCGCTTTGGAATACAAGTACAGCGCAATTTCTATGCGGATAACATTTTAGGTTCTGCAAAATAGCAACTGATGATGATGACGAGGTTTAAGGAAGTCAATGAGCAGTCGTATAGTGCTGCTCTCTGCAAATTTCACAGCCGCTCAAGCTAGTCCGTGCTTCCCAGACATAGAGAAACTACCTGACTATATAAATGCGCTGTTTGTCTGTTTGGTGTGTGTATGATTGTGTGTTTAGACGGAAAATTCATAACTTCTTTCAAATAAAAAGCGAATAGCGATAATGACGCTCAAATTCATTCAGTGATGTGGGTCGGGCAACTTTATGTGTGGGTGGCAGGATGTGATAAAAGCTGATAAGATTGATGGCACACCGGGGCTTAGAAGGGGTGGGTCACCAACTTCATAGCGCTGTTCACAGCGATGGTAGTGTTTTGGGTGTTGCTTCCAAGGAGTGATGTAGGGGGGCAAGATAGGATCATTGCTGATTGATGGCAGGAAGTGAACAGCTGATATGAAAGCATAAGAGGCTTCAGAAGGGGAGGGTCACCAACTTCATTGAGCGCGGCCACAGCGACGGTAGAACGTTCCAAGAAGTAGAATAGAGGGCAGGATGGGAACATTATCGGTGGGTGGCCAGAAGTCATAACAGGCTGATGAGAGGCCGAGTAAGGTACCATAGTATGGCGAGAGGAAACCTTAAAAATTTATAAGCAGGATTGTGGGTACACGGATATGGCTTTCTAGGCGTAACTAGGGAATTGGTTTTAAGAGACAAGTTGTGAGAACTTTTTGTAGCCCAGAATCAATGGGCAAAGCCGTAGTGAGTCAAGATGTTTTTATTACCAGGCGATGTAGTGGTGAGGACAGCTAAATCCAAATTTTGGACAAAAAGTAATGTGGGCTTAAATATTGTTGCCATTTGAGGAATTATAAGATCACAACAAGACATGATATGTGAAAGCTGGCTGCAGTGGAAGGTATAGAGAAACCGTAATTTCACTCGGATTTTGATTATTGTACAATCGAATCTCTTTTCAAACGCGCTATGGCTGTCGCTATTTCGCAGCGAATGAGTGGGTGTTCTCCAAGATTTTGATAAGCAGCCGAACATCTGGGCAAAATGTTTCATCTAAAAAAAGATATATCATGACATCGCCGTTTGATTTGCGAAACCCATGGGAAATTAAGTGCCACGTGTTGTGGCAAACACAGTAATGCTGACAGGTGGACAGTACGAATGTTGTCACATCGCGCCGCAGTAGTGCGTGACAGCCAAACTGGTCAAAATAAAAATAGCCTGAGCGTCCCACTCGTTAGTTTGAAGTATTTCCATAGCGTTGGAGCCAGATTCGAGCCGAATCGCAGAAATGCACATGCGATTTTGATTTATTGCGTTTTCTTAGTTTTTTCAATTTTGTTTTATTTACATCTGCATTCGTTGTTCTTCATTTCTAGCCTTTGTCATCTTCATCACCTTCTATTCGGACTTTGAAGCATGAGCAATACCTCAAATGTTAGGAAATTGCGTTTTGCTTGTATTGTCATGTTTTATTGTCATGTTGTCCGTTTTTATTGTCATGTTCTGTGGGAATGCGCGGCCTCTGAGGGATATTGCAGAAGCACCACAGTTGCTCTTGAGTTCTAGCCCTCGTCATCATCTTCGGTTCTTATTTTGCAGCACCTAAAATGTTATCCGCATAAAGAAATTGCGTTGTACTTGTATTCCAAAGCGCAATTACAGGACTTGGCAAAAAGCCAAGAGAGCTGCACGCGACCGCGCCGCGCGGATGGTGTTAGCATAAACGTGAGGGCGGTGTAGCAAGGAATTACGACTTTCCCACGGCCCCGTACTCTGACCCCGTGCAGTTTTGGGCGGGGGGACCACGACACATCGACAGCTGGGGGGCTGATAGTCTCATACACCCTCAATGTGTTTGAGCGTACCATGTGTCTTTAATAACTCTTTGATTTAGCCATGGAGGGCGGAAATTGATAATTGATGTAGCGGGTCCGACTGGGACATTATTGGTGGGCGACAGAATGTGATAACAAGTGAGTAGGGCTCACAAGCAGTGTTGGAGAGGTAGGGTCACGGGACTCATAGAGCCGGTCCCGGTCGCAATATTGGTGTTGCGTTGGTTCCAGGAACACTAGTGGTGGACAGTAGAAAGTTTTAAGTACTGATAAGATACGATAAAGGGAATAAGAACCCAAGCGTCGTCTGGCTCATAGCGCCGGTCACAGTAACAGTAAGAACTTGGTTCCCATAGGTGTTATACGGGAATATTATTGACCGGTGACAGAGAGGGTTAACAACTGATGGGATCATTCTTCGCGAGTAATTCTCGCTGTGCGGCTGCGTTTTCTTAACTTTCTACTTCTTTATATTTTTCTACTTCACAAATCGGTAACGTTTTTTGTTGTTGTTTACAAGTCATTTATAATCTTCAGTACTATCTTTGCGATAGACTGAGGGAATCTATCACCTTCTTCCTTCGTTAAGGGGAAATTTTTTTTGCCGCCCTCACCCGGCTCCAGACCACCCGTTTCGATTTTATTGATTGACTACTATGGCAAGGGGTAGCAAAAGAAAGTCGGTGCAGGATGATGCTTCTTCACTAGTCAGGACATGCCACTTTGGGCTACGAAGATGATTGAAAAGTATGAGTTGTGCAGTGAACGGATTGAAAAGGCTTTGACATCGTCGTTGGAGAAGTTGACTGCGAAAATCGCTAAGGTAGATGAAGTCCAGCACACAATTCTCTCCAGACTCAGTGCAGTGGAAGCAACCCTTGAGGCAATGAAGACTCCCACCCCTATGTCCCAAAGCGCCTTGTATTCAACGATCGTGAAAGTCCGGGCCGATGAAACCAAAATCGAAGACAAGCTCCGCAGGATCGCTTGGATTGGGATTGGGGAGCAGAAGGACGAAATCGCGACCCGTAAGTTTGACCATAAGGTCATAGAGACATCAGGCGACTCGGAACTGGCAGCGGAGTTTGCAAGGGGTGGCATCACCCTTCATCGCCATCCCCAAGGTCAGCCAAGAGGAGCGAACGCCAGGGGACGGATTATCAAGATCGATCTACCGACCAGGGCTCTGAAAGACAGGTTGCTGGCTCACATGAGGTCAGGGCGGCAGAGTCTTACAAAAGATTTCGTTCACTCTTATGCTCGGCG